ATGCAAGGCTGCTGACGCTTTACTCTCGCAAATGGTGACGGAGAACGGTTACGACTTAATCATCATAAGCGAGCAATATAAAAAGAAGGAGAGGCTCAACCGCAGCTATATGGCTACCCCCAAGAAGTAAAATCACCATCGCAGGTAAAGGGAACAGCAACGGTTTCGTCTGGGCCAGTTGCGACCTTTTCACAGTTATTAGCTGCTACCTGACGCCAAGCGACAGCATACAAGAATTTCAAGAAAAGCTCGACAATATAGAGGATACAGCCAGGTCTATAGAAGGTCAATTAGTTATCACCGGAGACCTGAATTCGAAAGCCATAGAGTGGGGTATGCCAAACACGGACTCGAGAGGAAAGCGCATTCTAGAAACGGCTGCGCCGCTTGGTCTAATAGTGCTTAATACGGGAAATGCAACCACGTTTGGAAGACCGGGTTGCGAGGAAACCACACCAGACATCACCCTATCAACAGAACGCATGGATGGCTCAATAAAGAAATGGAGAGTCCTAGAAGATTACACTGGCAGCGATCATCAGTACATCTCTTTTGAGGTGGACACCGGAACAAATACCCACCAGTGCAGAAAAAATACTGGAGCCCGAAAATGGAACGTCTCGAAACTAAACACTTCGAAATTAATCTCCGCAATAGACGACCATAACCCATATAGCAGCTTCCATAAAAATGCAAGAAAAGTTGTCGAGCACACAATGCTTAATATAAAAAGAGCATGTCACAAATCGATGTCCAAGGCAAGGTGGACAGAAAATATTGCCCATCTCAGACGCACATGCCTTCGCCTTCGTAGATCGTATACGAGATCCAGGAGAAAATGGAAGGAACTACGCGAGGACGTTAACAAAAACCTGGGGACTCGGGTACAAAATAGTAATGAAGAAACTCGGAGTTCGAGCAAAACCACCTGACTTAACCGCTGCCAAAATGGATCATATCGTAAGCGCACTCTTCCCCACACACGAAAACAGGATTAGTGATCCAGAACAGACAACAAGACATCTGCAAATTTCCCAGTTCACCCTCGAAGAGCTGCAACTGGCCACTGGCAAGTTCAAAACTAATAAATCACCCGGCCCGGACGGGATCCCAGCAGAAATCCTTAAGAAAATCGCCGCAGAGCGACCGGCATTACTTCTGAATATGTACAACGCCTGACTCGAAGCCGGAATATTCTCTGAACCTTGGAAAAAACAACGGCTGGTGCTAATCAGTAAGGGAAAAGGTGATCCCAACTTACCATCAGCATACCGTCCACTATGTATGCTTGACACAGTGGGAAAACTTTATGAAAGTCTACTTAAACCCAGACTCGAAGCGGCCATCAACGAAGCCGGAGGACTCTCCCCTAGACAACACGGCTTTAGACCCGGCAAGTCAACTTTAGGAGCTATAAGATGCATCATTGAAAGCGTAGAAGCCGCACAGCGTAGATGCCATAGATACAAAAGAATAGTTTTGCTGGCGACTTTAGACGTCCGAAACGCCTTCAACAGCGCTAGATGGGCGGACATGATTGACGCTCTTGAAAAAAGCTTTAAAATCCCTAACTACCTCAGAGCTGTGGTGCGGAGCTACCTCAGCAATAGATATCTGCTGTACCAAACTAGAGAGGGATCACGACAGATAGCGGTTACGTCAGGAGCTGAATAAGGATCCATTGTAGGCCCAGACTTGTGGAACATCAACTACGACGGCATACTAAAATTCGAAATGCCAGACGAATCGTACCTAATTGACTACGCGGACGACATTGCAGCAGTAATTACAGCCCGAGACACAGAAGATGCGCGAAGAAAGCTAAACCAGGTCATGATACGGACACAACGTATCATGACCTGGTTTAGCATGGCTTGACTCACACAACCTCCAGCTCGCTACGGAGAAAGCAGAACTACTACTGCTAAGAAATAAGCACATACCTCTCGAAATAAGTATGCAAACGATTACGGACACTCTATGGACACAAAAAGCGGTGAACTACCTAGGCGTAAGACTGGACCCCAGATTAACTTTCTGGGTACAAATCCAGCACGACGCAGGAAAAGCAGCGAAAATCACCTCCCAACTCAGCAGACTAATGGCCAATATAGGGGGGCCCAGCCAAGAAAAGAGAAATCTTCTAATGTCCACGACCATCAGCGTCCTTTTATACGGAGCAGAGATTTGGGCAGATGTGTTAAAAAAGGAAAGCCGGAGTAAGGTATTGGCTAGAGTATACCGCACCGCAGCCCTCAGAGTTGCATCAGCTTACCGAACGGTGTCATTTGATGCAATATTAGTCAAAAGCGGAAATGCCCCAATTGACCTTCTGGCATACGAAAGGAAAAAGCTGTGGGAGCTAAAGAAAATGTCTGAATACAACAAGAGCGCATTCGACCAAATAAAGAAAGACACGATATCAGCATGGCAACGAAGATGGGAGAATGAGAGTCGCGGCAGATGGACGGCCAGACTTATAAGAGACCTAAACTTATGGACAAGTCGAAAATTCGGTGAAGTCGACTTCTACATAACGCAGCTACTATCCGGTCATGGATACTTCAAAAAGTATATCTACAGAATGGGAAAAGTCGAAGAGCCGGCATGCCTATACAACGATGCGACTGAAGACGACGCTGAATACACATTCTTTAAATGTGAGCGATGGCAAAGGGAACGTACCGCCGTAGAAGACCTGGTCGGTCCAATAAGCGCAATCAGCTTAATCAGCGTCATGATGGAGAGCGAAGCTAACTGGTCTATTATACAGAAATTCGCAGAAACTTTGCTACGCAGCAAAAAGCGGGAATTGGACGCAGGTGCGTAGATGTAAATCTCTCAATGAGGAAAATGGAACGCCACCCTGAAGTAAAAGAACAAACGCGGTTCTTCTGGGCGACGGTTCATTAGAGGGAGGGTTTTTAGTGACCTGCAAGTGGCACATACCGTTGCTGTGACGACAGCACTGATGATGCGGAAGGCATTTTCCACCCCCTCACCCACAAAAAAAAAAAAAGTGATAACAAGTGCAACATTATACTAGTGATAATAGCTGAGAGCCATTTCACCAAAATCAGAAGCAGTTATTTGCGCAGAAATAAATGGAGATAATGGGCCAAAAAAAATCTGGGTTGTTGAAGTCACAGAAGAGTCTACACCAAACTTACTTATAGGAAATTAAACTTGTCAAAGGAGCTATGCGAAGAAATATAGTTAACCAGTACCTAGAATCGATGACACGCTGGACTCGTTACCTTGTACAAAATGGTTCTCAATACTTGATTTGGAAAGTGGTTATTGACAAGTGGAGGCAAACAAAGAACACTGACAAAGAGAATACGGTTTTCAGCGTTGGAGATGGTCTATGGCAATTTACCGTAGCGCTCTTTATGTTATGTAACGCTTTGAGAACCTTATGGACCAGATATTAAAAGCATTACACAGGAAGACCTGTTTCCTATACCTCGATGATATCATCGTGTTGATTAAAAGCTTCGATGGATATCTTCAGAGCTTGGAACAGGTTTTCCACTGATAGCTAGCGCTGATCTAAAGCTGAGTCCAAAGAAGTGTTCCCTTTTCAAAAAAGAAACACCTCCTGAATATCGACGATTCGTTCCAAATTTTGCCAGCGTAACTAGTAGCCTTCATGAACACGCGAAAAAGAACAGAGTCTTTGAGTGGAATAACGAACATGAAGTGCCTTTTCACCTAACTCTGAAGAAACGGTTAAGTACTGCACCAATGCTAGCATACCCGGTCCCAGTATCACTGTTTATTTTAAATACGCATGCCTGTATGTCGTAGGAGGCGTTATATCACAAGTTATTGACGGGTATGAAAAAGTGGTTGCGTATTACAACCAGACAATAAGCCAACGAGAAAGAAATTATTATGTAACTTGGACGGAATTACTGGCATCAGTGAAATGCATCAAACATTTTCACAAGTACCTTTATGGCCAACGCTTTCTAAAAAGCCGAGATCCATGAGTCACGGTCAGATGAAGCAGTACAATTCGGGTGCGCCGTTTGAACGAATTGCCATCGAAGTAGCTGGTCTATTTCCTATCAGTAAATTATGAAACAAATATGTTTTGGTAGTCATGGACTATTTCAGCAAATGGCCAGAGATATACGCAATTCTTAACCAATAGGCAGAAATGGATGTACCATATTCATCAACAATTGTGTATCGAAATATGGCGTTCCAAAAAAATTACATCCTGACCAAGGGAGAAATGATGAATCAGCTCTAATTCATAAGATGTGCCAGAGGTTGGATATCCGGAAAACCCGTATAGCTGCACTACATCCGCAGTCCGACGGCATAGTAGAACAATTCAATCGAACTATGGAAGAAAATTTGAGGAAAGTTGTGTACAAGTATCAAAAAGATTGGGATATCCAAATATTCTTGTTTCTGATGGCTTCTAGGTTCGCTGAACAACTACGAATTTCGCTGTTTGGTTGGTTCGAGCAGTTTACCGTCGATTCTATTTTGTTCTCGCATCGGTGTTTGTCATACTGCCCTCCACCTAAATCTGATAATCTCGATTAGACATATTTGCGGTACCAAAAGCATAGCATCTATGTCTCTCATATAATTTTCTATAACGCTGTTAACTTCTTTAGTCGTCTTTATCTTATTGGCGTTAATATAATGCATTTTCTAAATCATCATCACGTGAACATAATATTCTATTGCATCTACGTTCTTTTGGGCCTCAGTTTGTGGGAACTAAAGAAGAAACTTTACATCTAAATGCAAGGTACCTGTACAGGAAAAATTTGTTTTGTGATAGGTGTTGCCACAATCATTTAAATTGGCTGCCCGGTTTTATAGCAAGGTTAGAAATTTGTTGTTTATCCATTGATGGATCTATGGAACCATTTAAAAGGAACGTCTTAGATGTAGTTGTCAAACAAATAATCAAAGTAATTTAAGTTAATGCAATATGTTAGTATTAAAATATAAATATTTACTTTTCATTTCTATACAGGTTGGTATGTTCACAAAAATTGGTTCGCTCTCTTATTTTACATCTCACCATGTAAGAGTAAGATGAATATTAACTGGAGAATGTAAAATTTATTGACTCTTGTATTATAGTCCATCCCAGATGAGAAGCAATTTTGTTCGAATGGGAATCCAACGTATAACTCAGAAGGCGAAATGTAGCAATTTCTGGGGATGCTAAGATTCATTTAAAGATTGTTGGTAGACGTGTAGTCGCTGCTGATTTCGTAAGTACCAATTGAAAACTGATAATGTTTAAATAAGTTTTAATTGTATATCATTTCCAGTTTAATTTGTTAGTCCATTTCTATTTGTAACCCGGATACTGGTTCAAAACTGTTTAACTACAATATATTATACTTGTGCATTTTATGGGCAAAATACATGTAAATTAATTGAATTTAAACATAAAATGCTGTGAACTGGATTTATTAAGCAAAAAGTGCAAGTAAGTACAATAAAATATATTGCTTTTATTGATATTGTATATACTTAATTATGGCAAATATCGGCATTATAATATTGCTTCTATTGTATATTATAATTGACCATAGTATATACTAGAATTTATTAATTGTAAATTATTCATACATATTTAAGTTTGTTGTTATTTTTTATTCTTAATAATATTTTTATAACGAAAACTTCAATAGATAATATTTGGTTTGTGTAGTTATTTCTATCTCACACCCTACTGAGAATGTCGACTGGATCGATTGAGTCGATAACATCAATTAATTTTCCATTGTGTGAGAGCTTCCCAAAATTAGCGTTTTTATAATGTTTTCAATTGTAGCTAAACCGAACAAAATGATAAATTTTGGGATTGGATTGGATTAATAACTACTATATATTGGGCGTTTAAAATATGGAGAAACTATTTAAATCTTTTTTTGTGATTTTATGGTATATTAAAACACCAGACTTTTAAACTTTCAATACTTATTACGGTAATATAAGCTTGTTAGCCAGTTAAGTCTTTAGAAAATTAAAAAACAAAAAAAAAATTTGTTTAAAAAAGATGTGATTTTTTTGTAATTTTAAGTTTGACCTCGAATTTCTCCTAAGTGGTTAAGATAAGTAAAAAAGTTTTTTGTAGTGTCAAATTTCCTATAAGAATATAATTTGGTTCAACAATCCGTTAAACCAGTTCAGAGTTGCAAAATTCCAAAATTAAAGACAATTTTTTTCCGTGTTATTTAAATAGCAAATAGAAATCTGCGATGCGCGACCTCTTGATTTTCACAGGCGTCTTTTTACATCTTTACGAATGCTTTTACGTGAGGACTTCGAAACAAAAAAAATATGTGAGCCGTTACGGGACGCCTGTCAGATGTGAAACATCGACATTATTTTGTAAAAGTAATATGCAGAAAATAACAGATTGTGATAGGAACTAAATATGTCATAATAATAACATATTGTATTACGATTTTTTTCCAGATAACGATGACTATTTATTAAATAAACATTTATTTTCATTAAATACAAAAATTTACGAATTTATTTCAAATCGTGACTACTTAATTCGTTTAATCAGTGACTTCGGTAATAGTTATATTCGATGTTGCCTCTGAGAACGGTATTACTGTGACAATTGGTCGATGGTAACTGAAGTATGTTACAAAAGTATTGGACATAACATTATCAAGATATCTAATAAATACCGCATATATTGTTGTTCCGTATCTGGTGGTAGGTTCTCTTGGACTGTTATTAATTTGCAATTGAAATTCTGCTTGGAGAAACGTAATTAATGGCGTTGATTCATCTTTTGCAAAACTTGCATTGAAATCCTCCTAAAATCAATGGTAGTTCGTCTTTATTGGTTTTGAAAATGTAAAAATGAAATGATATCAGCTTTTTGTTTCATTTTGTTTTATTTCATTCTATTTTCTCTCTTTATTTATCTCATTTACTTCTTTATTCACAGCTGTGTTGCGTGTAGCTTTTTATTTGTTCCAGTGCTTCTAAAACTGTTCGCTATATTGCTTTTTCAAACTGTTTTTGTTTTAAACTTTGATAAAAAAATTGCTATTATTTTTGCGAATTGAATTTATTATTATTAATATATTATTAACACCCTAATTTTTATATATATCTATTAACTTTTTTTCTACTTACTCTTTTATTTGATCTTCATTCTTGTTGTTTATTATGTCTTGTAACTTCCCCAATTGTAACATTAAAGGCGAGTCAGATCGCTACGTTTTATGCTGGCTTTGTGATGGGCTTGCCCATATTAAATGTGCTGGACGGACAGGTAGAATCTTAGATTCTTTTCTCGACTGTAAAGGATTGCGTTGGTCCTGTTTAAATTGTAGATCTATGGAAATCGATCTATTTAAAGTTTATATGGAGACACGCAATGGCTTTAACGAAATCGATCGAGATCTTGTAACCCTCACTGAAAAATTTAGGCACTATAAAAAGTTGTTCATATCTTTTAAGTGCCTGAATGATTTTCACGAATCCTCTCAACCTGCTCCTAAGCGTAAACGTCCTTTCGATGAAGTAACACTTCGTTCTTCTGTACAGAAAAGAACGTCTCCTCGCAATGACAATTATGATATAAGTATATCATCGTTTAAAATAGACGTATCTCGTGAAACATTCAAAAAGATCTTAGATATTTCATTCTGGCCACCTGGGGCGTTTGTACGCGAATTTAAGCCTAAACTTAAAAGTCAAACTGAGGAAAACATTGCTAAATTACCAAAAGCAACCACCGATATAAAAATCTGATTAGTAGAAATTCGCTAAGCATTTATTATCAAAATGTTAGTGATCTTAATACAAAATTAACCGACTTGTATTTAAACAGTTCCAATTTTAATTTCCATATAATTGGATTTACAAAAACATGGTAAAACCTCACATTTTTGATAATGAGATTTTAAACAGCGAATTTCAAATATTTAGATGTGATCGACTGAACAGAATCGGTGGAGGTGTTCTATTTGCCGTACATTCCTCTATCCCATCTGAAGATGTTCTTGTTCCAGGAACCGACTCATTTGAATTTAAATGTATTAGAGTCTATGTTAATACATTAATGCTTTATTTATTTAACCCTATCATATATATCCCCCCATTCGAACTTGTCTGTATACATGCAGCATGTTTTTTTAATAAATAGTGATACTTCGATGGCAAATAATGCTGATTCAATAATCGTATTAGGAGATTTCAATTAACCGTGATTTTTTCGAAAAAATGTCCGAGTTGAGTCTGAACCAAATTAATTTGATTCCGAATAAATTTGGTAAATGCTTAGATTTAGTCGACTATTCTAAATATTCTGTATTGCGTCGACAATATTTTGACCTAAACAAAAAATGTTATAATAATTACTTAAATAAAGTAAAAAAGAATGTTATAAGTAATCCAAATTCGTTTTATGATTTCGCCAACTCCAAACGCAGGATTTCCAAATTTCCTACTTAATTTAAATAAGTTAAAACCATCTTTTAGTTACGGACCAGACATGATACCCTCATGCTTCCTAAAAAATAGTGCCAAATATATTTACTTGCCTTTGAAAAGGATATTTAATTCCTTTCAGACCGTGAGGACTGACACTACCGTGTTTAAGTATATTTCCTTCAATATGGAAACAGTCATTTATAATTCCTTTGCATAAAAGTGGATTTAGATCCAACATTGAAAACTATAGAGGTATCGCAAAACTATCTGTTATACCTAAACTTTTTGAAGCTATCATCACTGACCGTATAACCTTTTCGATTTCTCCGTTAATTTTCTCATCTCAGCATGGATTTCGTAAAGGGAAATCGACTCTAACAAACTTGCTTGAATTTGTAAACCATGTAGGTTCTAGGGAACATAAGCAGATGATGGATGTTATACACACAGACTTTAGTAAAGCTTTCGATAAAGTAAATCTGTCGATTCTCATACATAAATTTGATCTGCTGGGCTTTCAGCCAAGATTCCTTCAATGGGTAGCTTCCTATCTTTATAATAGAACACAACGAGTGATATTTGAGGATACAGGTGTTCCGCAAGGTAGTCATCTTGGCCCGATTCTGTTCTTGTTGTTTATTAACGATATCTCTTCAGTAATAGAATTTTCCAAAATTTTATTATACGCTGACGACGTAAAGCTTTTTAAATCATACACTTCAACTGAGGAAAGGTGTCTGTTGCAAACAGACTTAAACAATTTGGTTGCATGGTGTGCTAGAAATGATTTGCCATTGAATCTCAATAAATGTAAGATGATGTGATTTTCCCGTAAATCTGTGCACCCCTCTCCTTAGGTAATAAAACACAATAGTATAGAGCAAGTTTTTACCCATATTGATTTGATTGAGTCGAGATAGAGTCTGTTCAAAAACAATTTTTACTTTTCGCCTTAGCGCATTTCCTATGCGATTCTAGGGTAAGTCTACCTCCATACACTAGTCGTTTAAAACGTATTAATCTACCTATACTTTCTAGTCGTAGGAAAATGCAAAATGAAAATTTTGAGTAGAACAGTTTGCAGTTCTTTTCTCCTGTCTGAAATTAAATTTAATATCCCGGTTCGCTTTTCGAGGCAGTTTAGACCTTTAATGCTAAAATCCTGTAGATCAAATTTTGAACTAAACGAGCCATTCCGCCGTAATGTCATGATTTTAATTCTCATTCCAGCACATTTGACTTATTTGACTCACTTTTCAAAATTAAAAAGACTTTATTGTTTTCTCTTAATAATTGAAAATGTAACAATTTATTATATTGTAACTACAAATCTTAGCTGTTGAAATTTTTGTTTCTGTAGTTGAGCAGTTTTAGATCTCAACACTTAAAAAACTCTCTTGCCTTTTCTGACTCGGCTAATTCCGCACGTATGCGGATTGCGCCCCTCGCGTCGGTTGAGCGGGAGAAGGGTAATCATTGGGTTATTATTATTATTATAATAAAAAGTTACTTCTTTGACAAATACAAACAACCCTTCAGGACTTGTTACTCGTGTCAAAGTTACGTAAAGTAATGGAATAGAATGACTTTTACTATACTCATAGACCACCTCGTCATATGTACCTCCTTGAGACTTATGAATAGTCATAGCACACCCTGATATCAATGGAAAAATATTTCTCTTTCCCACAATGATTTTATTATTATTGAGAGGTATACTTGAAGTTCGACTTACGATAGGTACTGCACGTCTATCGATATTATGTTCCACAAGAAAGGCAGCGGCTTTTCTTTAAGCCACCATACCAGTGTTTTCATCTGGAAAAACGAGCCATATGCGAGTTACTTGATTTTCATCATTTTGTTCTATATGAACTAGCTTTCCAACGGCGCCGTTAGCTAAACCTTCTACCACGTCTATGTAATAATATAAGGTTTTCCAATGACAAAAATTATTTCGTATGGCAAACCTCCAGTATCAATCACTGACAACTTGTGTAATTTTTGTCTCATGTTTGCTTC